CTTTACTATGCTACACTAAAATAAGGAAGCAAGGAAGCTCAGGGTATATCTACCATTATGAAATTATTCCCAAAGAGAACAAATTACAAAAGCTCTCAAAAATAAAAACAAGAGCTTGCAATGTGTAGTACAGTGTTTATTATAATAATACATACAATATTTCATTGGATTCTCCTTTGGTAAATATTAAGAAGGACATTCGAATAATATATTCTCGTGGCTTGCTGCTTTAATACAATGCAGACAATCAACAAATGCTGAATATTCATCTACTATGCAACTGTTACCTATTTAAAAACAAAGGAAAGTAAGTAAGTAAGCTCATAACACTTCACTACAGTATGATACCTCAGCTATTCATACCGCAGGGGATAACTGAGATGTTATGGACTTCAGAACTGTAAAGCCTCCCTGGAATCATAGTGTAGGGTAGTGGTAGTTCTCAAACTATATTTCACAATTCAGATCTTTAGCTTAGGTATTTTATTATATCAGCATTTTTTAACCTGATTTTCTTAATTTATTTTTTTGTCCTATGACTTCTATTGATTCTTTTATTCCACATGAGCAAAACAAAACTAAAAGACAAGTATAATTTCATAATGTATTTATCATTCTAAAAATACAGCAGCCTCTCAAGTGCTGAGAATGAACTGTGAAAACACAATGCCCAATAATTACTTCTGAAAGACTACCGCAGCTTCACTAAGCAGATTAGAGGAGCAGAGTCCCTCCAATTACAAAAAGGTGAAAGAAGGAAGCAAATACAGCTTTGTTTTTTGTCCTGAAAGTGGGGGAGATGTTAATGCCACAAATGGGTCTGTCTCTCTATTTGATCCAGTCATTTGTCAGATGCAACAAAGTGAAGAAACCAGAATACCAAAACTTACTGTTTTACTGCAAATGTAACTATTGCTTGTTAAGTAGTAATTATTATCAAGTAGTATCTAATAGTTATTACTTATTGTCACAAATCTTCCTGTCTCCAGTGCCTTTGTTGCTGGTTACATTTCAGGGGTTGAAAGAATCTAAGGGTGAAAGTTAGTTCAGTTTAGCCTGTAAACTTCACCTAGAGACTAAACAGCTGTTGTAGATTTAACCTAATAATACTGCCACCACCATTTCACAGAGTTCTAGCCTTATTACGTATTAAAAACAAATAAACCAATACTATCTTTATAACTATTACCAGAGTAGAAGATCAAGGAGAAGCAATTAAGGTATAAATCTTGTTTACCAAAGCTTCTGTAACTAAACCGTATAAAATTTCACCCTCAAAATTAAACAAAACTTACATCTGATTGTCATAATGTGGAAAAAAAGTCCGAACACCTGACTACAGATGAACTCAAAAACAAGAGGTAGCAAACAAGCTGTGGAGTAGAAAAGTAGATAAATATCTAAAATTAATCCTTGATAGCAATTTTTTTGCTCATCTTTAACCCTTTCTGAACAACATTATGACCTTCATTGGCATCTGCTGTATATTCAAGGTTAGAGTCTCATCCAGTTATCACGTGTGAAGCATTCCAACAATGCGTCCACACTCTTTATACTCTCACTAGTACCTTCATATTCAGCAGCAAGGAGCAAAGCCAGGACTTTGTCTTCAAATCTAGGATGTAACTCTCTTGCTGATTTGATACAGGTCTTTTATTTTTAGGCAGGCCATAGGAAAGCAAATAATAAAAAGTCAACTAGTGACAATATTTTTAACATTTTCTTCTTGCTGTTTTTCATATCATAACCCAAAACCAAAGCCTTTCTACTTTATGACAATTAAAACACTTTTTAATAAATGAAAACACCAGCCTTATGATGAAAGGTTTTCAGAGTTCACTTTTTTAAAGAAAGAGGGAGTGGACTTGCATGTTTATTTAAAACTATTTCATTTCTAAAATTTTAGATTATATCTATCATTTGTACATAACACTCAGCCATCAAAGGCTGGCAGGTTCTCTTGTGGAGCTCTACCTATTCCTGTATTTTGACTTCAAGAGATGCTATCTATATAAAAAAAAATAAAGGCAATCTCGCTTGAAGCTTCAGGCTTTCTTGACTATAATAATTGAATTTCTGCAGTTTCTTCTTCACAGCAAGAGCTCACTAGGGAGTTTTATCAACTTGGCTCTTACAACCCAGGAAACACTTGAGTTTGTCCTTACAAGTCCTTGTTGCTTCACCTTGCTCCTTTCTCTATATCTACAGTGAGAGATGTCCAGTAAGATAAAACATTCACTAAAAGTAAACAACAGGGTGCCTTTTTCTTCCTGTTTTTTAGGTGGGAAAGGACTATGAAGAAGAGGAAGAAGACCACAAAAGATCATCTACAAAACATGATCCAGAGAAGCCATGCAACTTCCAGAAAACACAAGGGAGAGAGAATTAATGGAAAGGTAATTGGTTATTATGCCTGTTCCTCCATTAATTCCTTCAGGTTGGATGCTGAAGGGAGAGACTATGGTCAAGGACATGGAATCAAAGTTGCTGAAGCCTTTGTGCAGAGATATAAAAGCTGCCAGAAGCTAATGTTTGGGAAGAGGAAACAAGGTGGCAGGCACAAAGCTGTAAGCACAAGACAATTTTAATAAGGCAGTAGTTAGAGAAAAAACACTGTAGAGCTGCTTCAGGGCCCATGGCACATGAGAGATTATTTTCCATACACATCCCAAAACTAGACAGATCATAGTTTTGTCCCTGAAGTACTCCTCTTTCTGCTTTTTAGCATTCCAATTGCTTTATAAGGACTTAAATACATTAACTTGTGTTCATGCACTTCTCTGTAAGGCAAGAACCACCTTGTTTGGATGCCATTCAGTGCATCTCACTGTGTACTCTCTTTTATTTAGTGAATCACAGTTTCAAGGATTTATGCTGAATGGAAAAAGGACCTTCCAAAACGATGAAGTGTCTATTTCCTACACTTTGCACACAGATAATCAAACGAAGAGAATGCTGGAGGAAGTAAATTGGCACAATTCAAGCTTCCATAAAATCTTTGGGCAGATTATTACTTTCTGGTTAGCACATTACATTTCAGTCTAATAATGACTAGAAATATGGTGTCTAACCAGAAGGCCTGTCAGGTTATGCAACAGCATAAGGAAAACTCTCTCACATGCACTTACACAGTGTTTCCCTCATAACACAAAAACTTTCTGTCACATGCTAAAGAGGAGTTATTTCCACTCTTAAAAACAAAAACAAAACAACAACAAACCACAAACACCCTATCAAACCATTATTTCCAGAAGCACCCTGCCAAAATGTTATCTAGCACTTGACTCTACTTGTACCCAAAATCCAAACTTTCTTTAAGGTTTTGTTCACAGCCTACTGCTGTGAATGCAGATAAGCCATTCATTTGTGTCTTCCTGATTCTGCAGCAAGCCTGAAACAGCTCCTGGAGGATACTTACAACTTTACAAACAATCATCACAGGGTAATCATAACACTGAAATGACTAAGCAGTTTAAAACACATAAAAAGCAACCTCCCACCTCTCATTAAGCTGGCATAAACTCCCTTCAGTTACTTGAAGTGGGTGCTTCATGCAAGCAATGACTGCTTCTACTTGAGAGCATGCCAAAGGCATGGATTTACCAGTGGTGAATTATACATAACCTGTCCGATTATCTTCTAGGATAAGATGACTGGATTTGTGGATGAGAGGGAAGAGGGGATACCAGTTACCTCTACTTTAGCAAGGCTTTCTAGCAATCTCTCTCTCAATATTCTTGTGCCCATGTAGGGACACTATTGTGTTAATAAGTGGATGGCTAGATGGGTGAACAGCAGGAGTCTGTCCTGGGATCATTCTGTTTAACATCTTCAACAAAAATCTAAAGGACATGATGGAATAAACACGTTTTTGTCAAGTTTGCAGATGGCACCAAACTGGCAGAAACTAGTCTAAACACATGAAGGTAGACCTGACATCTAGAGAGACCTCCCCAGGCTGAAGGGCTAACAGAAACTTCAAAAAATTCAATGAGGAAAAACCTATAGCTGGGAAGGAAGAGGCTCTTGCACTGATTGAGGAACCGATTGACTGACTGGGAACCAGCACTGCTGAAAAGACCTGGTGGTCAGTGAGGGGGTCAAGCAGCACACAAGCCAGCAGTGTGCCCTGCCAGCAGAGAAGGCCAACAGAATTTCGGGTTCTCTACTCAGGAGCAGACTCTAAAGAGCAAAGGAAGTCATCACCACTCAAATCGGAGCACTTATTAGACCATATCTAGATGCTGTATTCAGTTCTGCCCACCCCCCAGCATAAGAAAGACATCCATTAACTGCAGTGAGTTTAGTGGGGGGTCACCAAGATGGCTGAGGGCTAGAGCATGTGCCCACTGAGGACAGGCTGAGGGAAGCTGGTTTGTTCAGCCTGCACAAGAGTTGGCTTTGTAGAACCAAACAGCAGCCTGCCAGGGGAGGAAGAAGTGCTGTTAGCTACCAACACATATAAGCATTTAGAGTAAAAGTGAGAACCATGACACCTCTGCAGATGCAGCAATGCTTCTCTGCTATACAGCAGTCATTCTGCTCTCTGCTACATGACTGAGGAGTAATATCTAAGACAGTAAATTATACCAGAGTGTCTTGGAAATAAAGGTCACACTCTGTGTCCTTTACCGCCTGTGAAATCAAGTTGATAAAACACTCCTTGTAAAGACTCCAAAACAAAAAGCCCTCAGTGATTAACAAGAAGATTCATATTGGTCAAACAGAGAGTCACGTTCTTTGTATTCTAAGTACCAACTCCTAACACCCTGCTATACACCTGTGGATTCACAGCCATATGTGCACAGGTCAACCCTCAGACAACAGCAGGCCATAATGTTTAATACCAGTAATCTACTTTTTTCTTCTAAAGTAGTTTTCTCTTGTCCCACCTCCCAGAATCCAAGTTCAAACCAGGACTGGGACTCCTTGCCCCAGACATCTACCTGGCAAAGCAGAATCCAGCCATGTTCAGCTCTGCTGAGCCCCTAACAGGCTACATGGCAGAACCTGAACTAGTTGTACCTGCAACTGGTAACTGGTCGGACAGCCACTGCCTGATCACTACAGTTGAGAGACACATAACCCGCAGCTACCGCAGCCCAGCTCCAGCACAGTACCCAACACAGGAGTCTCACATTTCCTCAAAAGGTGGGTTCTGTTCAAGTAGTTGGGCTGATTGCAACTGCTTGGATTCCTCCACTTCTACACACAAGTCCACCTCATTCCTACCATGAGAGTCAAAAGTGTTTTGTAACATTTCACTTTCCCACAACCACAGAACACAACAGATGAGCAAAGCTACCCCAGTCTACCTATGGCTCAGTGAAAGCAGTGCTGCAGCCTTTCCACTCACCCTGTGCTGCAGGATAGGACCCCAGAAGATACAGATGTTCTCGGAGATCTCCAGGTGTGACCAAGCTTCCTCTTTGTTCCAGAAATAAGGTCCCACTTGAGCTCAAAGTAGCCCTTCTGAGCACTGGCTGTCCTCACTGCTGCAGAAGGCAATGACTCATCCCTCTAAGCAGAGCCACAGCTGCTCCCACCAAGCTCAGCCCCCCCCTTCAGCAATCATAGTAGCCACCTGGGGACCCTCAGGACTCACCACTTCACCCTTCCCTTGCTAATCACTGCATGTACAACACCTGGGACACAGGCAGCCACAGAAATTTAGTCGGAGACAAGCGCTCATGTGAAATCACCACTATTACTATAAATGCAAAATAGAGAAAGCTTAAGTAGAGACTGGGCTCATGACTGCCACCTCTTTCGCATTCACTGTATTAAAGCAAGAGGAAAAGCTATTTTCACCAATCCAAAGGGCAAAAGTGGCCCTGAGAAAGAGCGAGAGGAGGTCACAGAGGATTGTTAGATCTAAGAGACATTTTTGCATGTGTTTGCATCTGTACCTGTTACAGAGACACTATTTGTTTCCCAAAAATTACTTAATATGTCATAGATATGGACAATTGGTACAGCAATCCTGCTCTTGGGGCACTGAGCATCTTTAACAAGAACCAGGGGTAGGGCTTTGCCATATGGATTGTTTATGCTGTTTGTTGGCCTGCTGTTACTATGTGCACTGCTACTGCGATATACTTTTCTCACTAGGTTACATGCAATTTGCAACAGCATCCTATGAGCTTAAGCCAGGACATATACAAATAAATACCTCCTACAGATAAGACATGTTTCTGTCTTGAGTTCTGCCCACACACATCATCTCTTAGTAAGGTTCCTGTAAGGAACCAGAGGACTCTGAAGCGTGTTTTCATGTTGCAATGACCTCTCAGAATTAAATCCTAGTGATTACATGTTTGAGAATTCATGAGGGGTCTTCAGCTGCTGTCCATCCCCATGGCTCCACTGAGTTCTATAGAAAACCTCTAAGTCCCCAAGAAACAATTTGAAAAGCTGTTAAGATCCCACAAGAAAAAATGCAAGCTCAACACATTGATGAAAATGCCTTTAGAAAACACATGTGCTTTGGCAGACCAATGCTGCTGGGGCTCCCTCTGTTCCTTTTGATCCGTCTTTTTTACCTGTCTTTTAATCCCCTCCTCTCCTTTTTTTAGCCTTTCAAACTCTCTCCATTCCCTTATTCACCGCTTTCTTATAGCCTTCTCTTTTCTACCAGCTGCTTGCCAATGAGAACTTACACAAGACAGGAATCCTGGATGACAGAGGTTTCTTTGATCCTTCCCTTGCTAATTCATTGAAATGCAAAGGAAGAAAAATTTTGCATTCTTTTTATACAGATTTTTAAAAAACAATGAAACAAGCAAACAAAAAACCCAACTCTTTTGTTCAACTCTGCTTTGACTTGTAGCATGTAAGTTCTTAGTAACATCTAGTCACCTGTTACATTTGCGCGAAGATATCACCTACCACTGTTTCATCTCACTGAACGGAAACAGGGTTGGAAGAGGTTGGAGACAAACTAAGAATGTTCAGCAAGAAAAACTGTCTTTTGTGTCCTTTACACTTCCTTTTCTGCCAACACTAGTGTCTCAACAGAGTGTGAGCATACTTGTAGGAAAGAGCTATGTTACAGACTCAGGCTACCAAGCCATCTCGCACTCCAGGAAGAATGCCATCCACAGCAGTGTAACTGCTTAGATTAGAAGGCTTTTAAGACATCAACTCTTTAATTTCTCATTGTTTGTAAAATATTTAATAAAGCAGGGACCCAGGTGGTGGCAGATTTTAGCAGTTTTGTGAAGCCTGTGGCATAGTAGTGTGTTATATTCTCTGTTACAATCACCTTCACACAACTTTTTCTTTACTCGAACACTGCTGTAGGAGTGCAGTATCAATCAATTAACACAAATAAGCTGAACAAGACTTTCAAATATCTGATGCTACAAGTTCAGTCCTAAGATATTAATGTGTCCCACCTACAATACAACCAGTGTTTTTTAATATTCATTGTATGCTGCTGGAAGCTTTGCTTTGATCGCTGTGTGCCAATGCACTACAGAGAACACTGTTTTCACCAGCTTACCTTATCTGAACAATCTTTGGTGTCCTTTTTTATCAGTTCTGCCTCCAAATCCGCATCAAATTTGAGGATTATTTCCAGACAGAATCCCAAAACCTACACATTAAGTCATAATGAAATAAGGAATTATCCAGCAATTAGGGTTCTTGATACTTAATATTATCCCTTAAAACGGTAATTTCCTGTATTAAAACAAACCACTGAACTTTGGTTCCCTGAAGACTCAAAACAGCTTTTCTCCTGTGGTGACAGTTTAAATTGTTATTGTCACAGTAGTAAAAACAAACATACAGGAACACTGGAGTCCTGTACTCCTTTATAGCTGAGCTGCATTAAAAAATAAATCATCAATAAAATACATAAATGTTGTAATTCTCATTTGCATTATCATATATGTTTAAATGCAAAAAACCTTTTGTTATTTTTCATCTAATAAAATATATCAAAACCACAATATGCCAGTGAAAGCATAAAGACTTTGGAATGGTTTGGTTTCATTTGTGTTTAATCATTTTTGATTGTTTAATCATTTAATCTTGGGACATTATTTAATTATTAATATTTTTTTTTTCATATACAGCCAATTCTCTCACTGCAGAGAACAGGAGTCTCTGAACAGTAAGACTAGATTGATTTGTGGCCCAAGAATGATTGCCAGAATACTCAAGCTCATTAGCATTGTCTACTGCAATTTCCTGAAACCCATGGTCAAGATCACCTGCTAGTTTGCAATATAAGTGTGATACGAGAATGCTCAAGGCAAGACTGGAGGCTTCTTATGTATGACACAAACATGGTGATTTTAACAGTAAATGGAAGGCAAACAGATGAAGAGTCATCACAGGAGGCAATTGGAAATCTAATCCAAAGCTGGGTCCCTTCCATCATCTCATTCACTAGAACATATTGCTTCCAACAAGCATAGACCAAGCTCTGATTAACAAGCTAGTAGCAAGGGAATATTGGGCATCTGTGGATGAAAGCATAAGTATCAAAAATGAAATTTATGATTTTGATATTTAAACCAACTTATTTATTTCATCTTGCTTAGCATTTATGACAGATGGATGAATGCTCAAAAATTGTTTTCTGTCATTAACCACAGCTAACCAATATTCCCCAGAGTGAACAGTAACTTGACATTATCTTTGGTCCACTTTTCTAGAGAAGAAACAATTAAGTAATCAAGGTATTTCAATGTCTGTCTGCACTTGCCCCAGGAATTTTAGATCCTTCTAGCCATCTTTAGCCAAGTTTGAACATGGAGTGGACATCTTAAAGACAGATGAACTTTTAAAAAATTCATTAAAGTGGGTAAAGAGAGACCAAATGAATGCTCTGGGAGAGACCAGGAAGCCGAATTCAGCCATTTTTTATTCCTCTTGGCAGCAGATAATGAGCTGGTCAGCAGATGGTTTGAGAACAAGATACCCAGCACACTTGCTGTCTCTAGTCTATGGGATGCTGTAGGGAATGCAGAAGAATCTAAGATTATTTTGGTGTTGAGGATTAGGTAATAAATGTAAACTAGAACATAAAACTACATGAAACTGTACTTCCTTAATTTCACTGCTTGTAGAGCTTTTATATTCCTTCCAGAGTGGCAAGACTGTGCTAAACCATTTTTCCAAGAGGGAAGAAAAAAAAAACAAAAAACAAAGGAGAAGGTCCCAACCTCAGAGATTTCTTAAGCTAGAAAAATAACAGCAGTATCATAGATACTGCTGTAAGGGTTAGAATGAGATAAATAACAAATAAGTAAAGATCACAAGTGACATTAACTTCTATTACTACTATATCACTATACATTCCACTTCCTTTTTTTCACCTTTGATTCCTTTTTACACAGACTGCTCCAAAGCTTCCTAAAATGAAAGTAAATAAGTCAGCAAATGTTTTCCTTCTCTTTTTATTCTGTGTAAATAAACTTGAACTTTAGCCACTGCAACTTTAACCTTATTTGGCTTTCAGATAACTCTTTTTCAGTTTCCCCAGCTCACTCCAAGATGACCTTTGCAGTCCATCAGGAAATGTCTGCAGATTACAGACACTTAGTCACTTTGATGCCCTGTTGAGACAGTGCCAGTATCAAGGAACATTAGGGTTTTTTTTTATTTTTAATCAGTTTTCAGGGAAAGAAAAAGAATTTTTTACAGGGAAATTACAGTCTTGGCTTTATTACAGGCTTGACTTCCAATAACTACAAAAGGATGCTGCATCACCATAGGACTGGATCCTTACATATAATTCACACTAGGCAGATTTTTTTTTCAATAACTTCTTGCAGAAAGATCCTAAGAGATGAGTACAAAACAAACTGGAAATTAAGCAATATGCCTGCTCTTACAAATAACACCTCATTTACTATTGTTACTCTCTTATCAGAGCAATGATAGAAACCACTTTTCCATGCCTGCCATTTTCTCGCATCTCACAGATCCAAATCTGCTGCCTTGTGCTCTTTGCCTTATGTTGCAGCTCTTTAGGATTTGCAGAGCTAGGGCAATGCCAGTTTTCCAGGTATAAATGTTGCCTCTTCACTATAGCCCTTGTATCCTACATGTGGGAACAGACTGTGGATCTGCTCCATGTGCAGAGCTCCCATTGGCATCACAGGGACTGTCACACATAGTTCATACACAGTATCAGC